TGTATCCTTTGTCCAAAGCATGCTCCAAGTACCTAAATGAAGACTTAGAAAAATACATGCATGTTCTAACTATAAAATGTGGAAGTTAACCAAAATGTGATTAATGCATGGAAAATACAAGGCGGAGTCATAGATAAATGGTTAAAATCGAGGCTTAAAACCATGAAAATATGGATACATTGAAATAAAATTGGCAGTGGTGTATAAAGTGGTGTGTATGACCTTTGAAATATCTAAGTCGGCGATTAGAGTTTAGAATTTTGGAGTTACGATTAGATATTATCTTATATAATATTTTTAGATTTTTCTAAATTCAAATCATGAGAGGATGTGATATGTTATCTACTCTTTTGACAATTATACTATTGATTTATTTATTGGAAAAAAATGAAGTGTTTTAAATCACTTTAATAATTAATTCTTACAATTTAATATGTAAGTCTAATGTAAGTTAATTCCAAATATTAAAGTGTAACGTAAGGATGACCAATTTCACTGAAATAAGCCACTAAATCAACAATATATATAAGAGCAATATATATTATAATAAATATCTTTTTTCTTTTTTTGATATCTACCAAAAATTATAATTCCAAATTAAAGGTGTTATTGTGAATTTTTAACTCTTTGAAAAGAAATTTAGGGTTAAGCTAAATATTTTTACCTTTCACGAGGGTTAAGCTGTAATAATTTAGGGTTTGCGTTAATTGTGTACAATCCTGTAACGCCCGCGAACCAAAATTTTAAATTTTTGGTGTGCGTCGATCGACACCATGGGGTGTGTTGATCAACACACGTTCGAATTGAACCGATGGTTTCGAATTTTGATCCGTTGGGTTTGCGGTTGGGTTAAAGAACCCTGGGGTTCGCATATAAAAGTCGTGCAACCGACTGTAGTCGGGTTTTTAAGAGTTTTTCAGAGAAAAAGATAGAGAATTGAAAGGATTGAGAGAGAAAGAAGAATCATTGTTGATTTCTTCGTGTTCTTGATCCTAAAAGCTTGTGATTGTGTTTGTGAAGCTCTCGAATCGAGTGTTGATCCGTGTTCTTCGCGAAGGAAGAAGGATTTCAGTTTCTAGGGAGTTGTAGCCTCTGATTTGTCGTGTTCTTCGTGTTCTTATTCTCATTTCCTTTCCGAAACCAAGATGAGTACGTGACCATGGTTTATATGGGTAATTGGAGTGTCATGATGCGTTTT